CAGCAATAACACTTTCATTACATCATTATACAAAAAAAAAAAAAAAAAAACACCAGCAAAAATTTGTTCCACCTTAACTTCAAAAGTGAATGTCCACTTAGGTACAAAATAGCAGTAAAAAAAAAACTTTCTAAATAGAGCACACCAGAATTCATCCTCTCGACTATTCTTCCTCAAAGAACTTAATAATGTTAAACAAAGACTAATCAACAACGGATTCCCTAACCACCTTATAGACCACCAAATTAGATTATTTTTCCCCAAAATAAGTAATAACGATAGTGAACACACAGCCAAAAGTCACATGCACATTTATTACAAAATCAAAGGCATATTAATTACAACCAAGACGAATCTTCACTAAGACATATTATAAAGAAATATACTACACCAATTGACCCGAATAAAAAAATCAAATTAATTATCTATTATAAAAAAATTTAAGACAGATAACCTTATCCTAAAAAATAACAACACATCAGCTAAGTCACAATTACAAAGAACGAACATTATCTATGAGTTCAAATGCCCCTTAAGGAACTGTGTTCCTGATCAAATCGGCCTCATAAATAATTACATCGGTTACATAACCACACGTTTATCCAGACGTCTTACGTTACACCTAACTGATCACAGCTCCATTAGAACCCATTTAAACACACACACAAATTTACCCGACTCCATTAGGAACATACTAGTAGAAAACACAAATATATTAACTGCATCCACCTGCAAAAAAAGACTAAACATAATGGAAGCTTTAATAATAAAAAAGAAAAAGCCAACTCTTAACAATATTAACTACGAACAAAGCCACAATGTGCTAACCGTTTTGGGAAATTAAAAACATCCCTACCACACACTAAGACATACACAGAACGCAAACACTGAAGTAAGCTGAAAAATCGAATCATCCTTGATAATGGCTAAAGGTATAGCCAAAAGCACTCATAAATATAAAACATTTGGACAGTTCTGACACACCCTTTGTCGAGAAAAGAAAGCTCTTGTTCGAACACAAAAAAAATTATATATAAAAAGCTTAACCGTAGCACCCTGTCTGTCGTTTTTAATGAAACCTGCATATATATATATATATATATATATATATATATATATATATATATCCCCTGTAAAAGATACATATCAATGTCAAAATTTCAAAATTGGTTAAAGTATTTGCTATTGCTCATATTCTCATCGAGTTTAACATAAATATATATATATATATATATATATATATATATATATATATTGGTATTATCTCTCTCTCTCTCTATATATATATATATATATAATACACTTTCTATATATATATTATAAAAAAAAATATACTCATATATATATATATACATATATATATATATATATATATATATATATATATATATATATACAAAGAGTTCTTGCGTGTTCTCGGCTCGACCAAAAAGCACTTCAAAAGATCTCATGTTAGATCTAATTTTAAGTACTATTAAACATTTTACACACAGTCATATACACACGCATACACACACACGCATACACACACAGATATGGACATATATACATATATGTATGTATATATACATATATATGTATAGTATATATGTGTCATCTTCAAATGATATGACCTCAAATTACACATTACGCTTCCAACATTTTTCATATTGTAGTCAATCTTTAATGCACACTTAAACGAAGCTAATCTTTTAAAGTTTAAACATACCCACAGGCGCCATGAAATATATATTTGTCGTTCTCTACAGCCAATAGAAATGAAACAAACTTAGAACAGAAATATTGATACAGACATAAAGACCAACGCCAATATATACCTGTGGCGTGTATGCAACCAATAAACATGAAATAAAATATAACAAGTGAAATAAAACTTAGAATCATTACTAGAGGCGGATATGCAATGTAGTTGGCCCTGCTCTGGCATCTCGTCTACAGTCACTTTCTCACAGACGCGCCGTAGTCTCTCTCTGTCTTTTTTACAAATACTTTCATGGTAATTGCTCCGAGGAGCTGCATTCGCTGGTTCCCAGACTTCATGAATTCAAAAGCCCTACGAGGCTGGCATCCTGCTCACCCCTTCACTGTCGAAACTCCTAAATGTAGCCGTCTCTTCTACTCCAATAGCTTTATGTCTCGCACCTCTCGCCTGTGGAACTCCCTTTCCTATTCCAGTTTCCCTGAGAGCTATAATCTCCAGCTATTCAAGTGTAATGTCAATCGACATCTCCAGTTGCCTTGATCTATCCACTACCCTTCTCCTCATCCTTTCTTCTATCACTCCTATCTGATCTTGCTCTAAATTTTCTGTAACCCATTGCGTCCTAGTGGCTCCGCGCCTTGCTTTGGGGTGAAATGCTTAAAAAAAAAAGTTCTCAATTTTTGATGAAGCTAAATAAATACCGAAACATGCTAAATTTATGATGATATCCAACTTGTTCCTTATACAGTCATTCTGTTGGATTTAATCCACATTTTCTACTTAACAACACTGTTTAAA